TATCGGATTTGATAAATGCATAATCTGAAAGAAGAGCATGTGTGTAAATAATGAAACTGCTTATCACATTTGTTATTCGAGTATTGGTTTTCAGGGATCTGATTCGTTTCAGGATTTCTTCATGAACTGACATCAGTTACAGGAGGACCGTTAGAATACCTGGGAGTACTGGATAGGTGTTTCATCCTAGTTTGGGACTCTTCATCAGTACGCACCCACCGCCAGAACTAGAACCCATGCAACTACCTACCTTTTAGGGTAGTTACTAGTTCTACTAAGAATTCGTGAGCAGTAAGGTACATCAGGTCGGGTGTGAGGACAAATACCCGCCAGCGATGACATTCGCTAGTGATCGCGCCATATCATGAATTGGCAGAAGTTGGAATTCATACACTGGTCATTGGATCAGGTCCCAGTGGCTTAATGGTCTACAAGCTGGCCATGTAACCAGAAGCTCCTGGTTTCGAACTCTGGCGGTGGGTGCGTACTGATGAAGAGTCCCAAACTAGGACGAAACGACTGTCCAGTACTCCCAGGTATTCTAACGGTCCTCCTCTAACTGATGTCAGTTCAGGATGAAATCCTGAAAGTATCACATTTGTGTTGATTTGCCTCTTTATTGGAAGAGGGTGTTCGATGCTGATCAAATTCTGCGTCAATCTGTTATTCCTATTTAAGCGATTTTGGATTCCATTTCATGTAGTTCTTGTGATATAAAACGTTCTTTGTGCTTTTTGAACCTGTTCTGAATGATTGCGACATTATGCAAGCCCATCTTGTGGCTTGATTCTATAGTGTGTCGACCTATGGCTGATGATTTTTCAAGCTTTTCTAGTGCCGTTGGATTTTTCAATGGTTGAAATAAAGGCTTTGCAGTGTTCCTTTCTTCCGACTTTGATTTCCCGTGAGGTTCGTCCAATATATATATACATGTATATATATATTCATTAGTTCCCGATCGCACAATAGCAAAGTGAAGCATCGTGAATAGAATAGGAATCAACCAAAAACAAAGAAAAATAATAAGGATTGCGTCAAATGAAGGCTTGCAAATTGTGCATGTTTATACTAAATAAAATAGGTAATCTCACATTCTATTATTCTTTAAAATTAAGCTGGGTACACGCACCAATTTGTACCTCAGCAAATCACGAACTAATTCCACTATACTACTTCCTGTCCATTGGAATATCATTGAGTGAATAGAGGCTTGATAGAAATTGATAAGTACTAATACAAATAGTTCATTATATATAGAGGCTTTTTTCTCTTACATTTCTCTTTATTTCATGCATATAACTAGTAACCTTTTGTTTAATTCATAGCTTGTCAGACACTTCATTCATTATATTCAGTCTGCTTTACATCTAGTCTATTAGCCTTAATGTAAATTGGTAGAATTTGGAGAGTATATTAGACATTTATGAAGCAGATTATAATACTCTGTCAGAAATGTCTGTATGTTTGCAGACATTGATTAGTAATAATAAGGCATCAGAGTTACCTTCAGTTTTCATTCATATTCGCAGGAAAGAATTCGACTAAACTAGTGGATTGTTTTGTTGTTGTTGTTGCATTGTTTCTATCCGCTTGCTTGATTTGCATAAAGCAAATAGTTTCATAATTTTGTAAGTTAGAAAGTCAGTTGTAATCATAGCAAATTCTCTTGCCGAATATGTAATAGAGAGGATTTCTTAATATGGCATTTAATACATAAGTACAAAGTGGGAATATCTGGATTTGTTTATGTTTAATGACTTAGGTATTTTATCTTTGAACAATATAAAATTTGCCGTCAACCTTTTGACAATTACTTAAGATTGCCTTTTAAAAATGGAAAAAAAGCTGTCGGTTGTATTTTGGAAATAGACGGTGAAGTTGTCAGTTTTTGAGATCTAATTATGTGTGTGAAACCTCGGTTTCAGCCAAATGGGTCATGGATTCGAGTCCTGCTCCATGGGCTTCAGCTTAAGCAATTAGAGATAAGTATCGTCATCCCTCGCAAGATAAATGTGGCACTTAGCGTGGCACATGGAAGTTCCGTTCCGGATAATTGATTTCAAACAATACTGAGTTCAAACAAGCGTGTGAGACACAAACATAATGTCCTTCTGTAGAATCGAAATCATTTTGAAAATCCTTTAGAATCATGGAACATTGGATAGCTGCTTCATCCAATTTTTGAACTCTTCATCATCAGTTGACAACCCTGACTCAACCAGGTCTTGGACATAATCTATAAAATTTTCGAGGCATACACGTTCACCATTCAGCCACATTAATCTTAACTCTTGTCAATTAGCGATATAAGTTCGCTGCCATCTGGTGTCATCGATAACTACCTGCGCAGGACTTTCAATGTTTTTTTTTCTAAGTAGTATTAGTTCACGACGAGCACTCCAATGGATTCTTTATCAATTTGGGAATTAGTTGAAGACTGTGATTCTTAATTCTAAAACAGATTTTATTTGAAGTTCAAAGTTAAAACGTAAAACACTCGCAATTGTATGCAGTCAGCCATATGCCGCATATATTATGTGAAGGCGCATGATATCAAGCGGCTGGCCAAACATTAGATGGAGCAGGGTTCGAACTCCGTAACTCAATAGTTGTAAATCAACCCCTCAGCCCTATGAGCCACAGTTCTAGAGGTTCAAGGTAGATGAAATTCTAATATCAGCTGATCAAATAAGTTACTGATAAAGTTCATTTAATTAAGTTTTATCCTCGTATAAATATTAAGTTTTAATTCTGAAACCACTATATAGAAGAAGAATAAGAGAAACACGTTATAAAGTTAGTACATGATTTTGTCAATTGAAGATGACTGAAAGAAGGATTTCGTAGAACTTAAGTATAGTTTAGTCATCTAAGTAGCATGACAGATTGAAGTCATAATGTTTTAGTAAGTCAGGGGATATAAAAACAGTTACAATGATAATAAAAAAGTAACCCTTATCTGCGTCGGTGATTCAGTGATAGAAATGCTTGCCCACCATTCACGTTATTTGGGATTCGATTTCCCGTCTATGCACACCTAAACCTCACTTTGCCGATAGTAAGTCCGGTGAAGAGGGGAGTTTGGGCGTGAGGCTTACAACTTAAACCCGTAAAAAACACCACTGCTACCGGGACTTCAAAACTCAAGCTTGAAGCCTTATGTTCCACTCGGAACCCCATAAGGCGAAAAAATTGAAGTATGCGCTGAAGATGTTGTCTAGTAAGATAATGAAAGCGTCTTAGCTAAACCATCCAGCTCAGAGACGACAACTACACCAAGGCTGTCTTCAGTGTTTTACTCTGATTTCAAATTATCTGAAGTCCTTAAACTTTTGCAGTATATACAAAATCAATGCACAAACCTTTTAACTTATTAGTCGCCATTGGAGTGTTTTAGTCAGAGTACATTTAATATATATTTATTAAAATCGGAATTACTTTTTTTCATGTAATAGTTTGTATCATGTCGATTATTACTCGGTCATTTGGCAATCAAATAATAGACAAACTTATTTTCTTTACAGACTACTTATTTTATGCCTTGTTGTTTTCTTCATTGGTTAACCATTTCAGACACTTCCATCATCTATTGGCGATTTGTCTGCTATGTTTCATTTGAATGTTGATCAAAATCAACTGAGTGAACTACCCATCCAGGTAAAATGCTTTTTGTAATTGTTTTGTTTATTTTTTCAGTTTTAACTACAAACTTCTAGTAAATTATATGTTTTTTAAAAATAGATACTAGTTTTATCGTATAATTTGGGCTTGGTACTGAAGTGAAAATGTCTTTTGTTTCTCTGTACTTCAATTATATTCCGTGTATATCGAGTGTGTGACTAATATCTTCAAAGTAATATGTGTTTCAATGTAGATTTTGCGAGAGAACCTCGGGAGCACTGGACGGCTCTTACGTCCTATTTCTGGAATGTGTTAGTAAATACGCATTCATGACCCCACTGTGAACTGAATCCAGGAGCTTCAGACTACGAGGTCAGTCTGTTGACCATTCAGCCACTTGGGCTGGAATTCAGTAAGTAACCCGTGAATTTCAGCATCTTAGAGAAGAACAGCAACAACGCTAAGTGTTGTGTTTTCCAGTTGTTCATTGATCTGAAGAAGCCTTAAGGATACGATCTTGTATCTGACCACTTCTATGTACACATATCAGTTCACCTATTCTTGTGAAACCAGGTATATTGATCGTTCGATACGTATGCTGTATGAAGAGTTCGGAAACACTATCCCACATGACTGCAGCTTTATAAGGAGTGCTATATTCGAACACTTTGTCAACACTGATCATTCCATCTCAACAAATGCCTCCTCTGAGGTAATCCAAAAAGTGAAAAATAACCTGCTAAGGGCAATACGCTTTCGTCTCCTTTGCATTGCTGAAGCTTTAACCATTCAGTCGTAGAAACCCGGAGCTCTGCATACAAAAGAAAATTATTCAACCACTTTTGCTGTCATGGTAACAGCCTTTTTGACTTTTATTGATTTGATTTTTGTTTGCTTGTTTTTCTAACTCATTATAACTCTTGTATCTCTTTAGAACTCTTACACAGTCCCATATTTTACTTCGTTTCTATGTGTATCCTGACCACAACTCACTTACTAAATTATTTATCTTATTACGTAAATGTAATGCACTTATTCAACTCCTCTTACGTATGAAGTAGTATTAACAACTGTGATTATGACAACATTTTTCTTACTATCCTCTTTCATGAAAAAGAGATTGTATGTATGTAAATGCGATTGTACAGCTAAATAGGAAGAAGGAATTTGCCGAAAAGAGCTTCTTCGTTGAACTACGTGTTTTGATTTCACTAATTCTAACTTTGTCGATTCTTGACCCAAACACCTAGAAAACCCATAATTTTTATGTGTATTTGTTTCACATAGAGAGAAATCAAGACGATACTTGTATAGAGGATGTAGTTAGTTGGAGGAGACTAATTTTAGTTGGTGCCTTCGTATATTTTATCACATTTATCATGTTTTATTTCAAAAGTGCTGTGCATGTTTTTGTCATACTGTTAACTAATAAAAACCCTCTAAAGAGTTTGAATTCCCTACCTACATCTGTTAAGTTTGATCCTGATAAATATTTAGGAAGTCCTAGTGATGGTTACACTTCATATGGTTATAACCTTGTCAGTGGACTGACTGTAAGTATGTAAACAACGTGTTTCATAAAACAAATGAAAATTTTAATTTATACTCATCCTCCTCAACTTAACTCTTTCGAGGTAATGATTTTTGAGGTCTGTCTGTATTAGACATGGAACTTTGCACCGATGTACGGCAGTTCAAGTCGCCACACTCCATGTAGCACACAAAGCAAGGGAAGAAAGTAGAAGAAATGCATAATGTAGACAGTAAACAGAGGTGTGAGACAAAGGTATAGTAGTAACGAAGAACAAAACAGTTTCATTGGAAATCATAAGTCACAAGGAGTGGATGCACCTGCTCCATTGAGAATGATTTCGAGCCATATCACCAATTGTTTCCAACCATTGGTTTTTACCGTCCCGAGGACCCCAACCCGTCAGGAAGTCTACACCTTCCTACGTGGCTTAGACTAACTGTTGTAGATTTCATTGACTGGTGCCATGTTTTGGTTTGACCACCACTAGCTCTTTTCCAGCCTGACCCTATGTCAGCTAACATTGCCCATCGAGGAAGGCGATAACTAGGCATACGTAACACATGTAATGATTTATGAGGACGTTGTATCGATTACTTATAGTTACGTCACCTGGACTTCTTCATCCATTGAACTAAACTTTTCAAATGTCGTTGTAAACACCCAAATGTTGAATACTTGCTGGAATGATACAGTCCAAGTTGCTTCGAAATTATGGAAGATCATTCTCCCAGTAATTCGTTAGATTAAAAACATTTCTATACCCGCCAATCGTTTAAATTTACTGAGTGCAATTTTGGCTATTTCTTCTCTTTGAGGGGTAGTATTTTTGGCACAAGTTAGGTCTAGTAAGAGATATAAGTGCTTCCTGTCAATATTTGGTAACTATCGATTCTTAACCATGCAGATGGTCTGGGATTTGATCCCCGGTTGATGCACTCCTAAACTTCGCCAAGCTGGCAGTAAACCTATTAAAGAGGAGCAGTAGAGGGTGGGTCTACTAGCTCCTACCCTGTAAAAAAATATCACCACTACTGGAACTCCAAAGTTGTAGCTTGAAGCGCTATGTTCCACTTAGGAACGAATTTTAAAATATCTATTCCTGACAATATTCTAGTCGAGGTTTTTAGCGTAGTTTCTTTTTAAACAGCAATTTCTTTGGTAAGAAGCCAACGTCTATTATTCTCATTCTTGTGCTATTAATCTCTAGTCCGCCATGATCACGTGATCAAAACATGATAAATACTCGTTATTGGAATCAATCAATTTTTCAGGTGATACTGTTGTCTTGTAGGTTTCTTGTTCAAATGTTTTTTCTTCTCAACAGCAAAGAAAAAATGTCTAAAATATTTCATTCCTACGGATTATTACTTGAATTTTCAACATCTTAACCTTTACTTATTCATGGCTCATGTATTTATTCAGCCTACGTGGTATAAGTTATATAACAAAGGCGGTTTATAACACGTAAATGATGTGTGTTGTATGCAATTTTATTTAAAATTTTGACTGTGTCATCTCTACAGTTTAATATGAGTAAAAATGTTAGAAAGATGAATTGTACTCACAGTGTTTGTATAAAAATAAACAAATTAATCGTGTTTTTCTATATTAATATATGTGTCATTTTATACGCTTATAATTTTAGAGTGTCAATTAACTAAAGAAGAGTTTCTATTCTTCAAGTATTATTGATTTAGTTTTGAATTAAATAGTTCATTACTATACACAGTAAAATATCACATTGTTCAATATTTTCAGAATATATTCGCGTGAAGTCCATGGCTTAGGTAGTCATGTCCACAAAGTAGATATGATGACCTTTAACCTATACTATATAAGTCTAGTGATCTATAAAAGTTGATTTCTGCTGTCTTCATGATTTGAAGTAGATAATATAGATTCTATTATGGACCTAGTTTAGCTGCTATTTGTTTTTCTTAAGTCGATTTTGATTTTTCCGTTAATTGATTTGGACTGAAGTGGCTCAAGTGGTTTAGTAGACTATGTTTTAGCACTTAAAACGATGGGTACTAGGCCTGAGGCTTAGCAGGGACATCATCACTCACTGGGGAATGCAGTCACATCCAGATGACGAGTCTGAAATAGGACAAAATGCACATACTGTATTCCATTGCTGGTCACCATCCATGAAATTACTTGATAGTTTAGCTACTGTCTACATTTCAGTAGTAACAGTCTACTTCAAAACTGTTGCCCATTGATTAAGTGCTTGAGATGTAGGCTTATGTTGCAGTAGATAAACAAAACAGCTTTGAAATGCTGCACATAACTTCACTGATTTAAATTGTAAGATAATGCTACAGGACTGGACTACATTGACTCCTAGCTTAAAGATAGGGGGTGAAGTGGTGGCTGAGCGTGTTGACCACTTCACTTATTTGGGAAGTCGCATCAGCCAGTGCCGGCGGGTTGATCGCTGACGAAATCTCAGCACCGATACTGAAGGCTCGTTTAGCGTATGCCAACTTACGCCATCTCCGGAGTAGACATGACGTCCGGCTGTCGACCAAAGGGGGTGTGTACTGTACTGCTCATCAGTTCGCTCCGTCCTCCTTTATGGTTGACTGTGAGACATGGCCATTAAGAGTGGAAGACATGAAAAGGCTGGCTAGCTGTCTTTGTTCATAGGTGTCTGCGTTCTATCCCCTGTGCTAGTTGGTATAATAAGGTGAGTAATAGTGAGGTTGGGCGTCGAGTGCTAGGTAAGGAGGAAAAGTCAATCAATTAGGGTGCTACATCGGTTGAGCTGGTTATGACGTGTGTTACGAATGCCTATCCATCGTGTTCCTCAACGGGCAATATTAGCTGACATAAGGTTAGGTTGGAAGAGAGCTAGTGGTGGTCAAACCAAAACATGGCCTCACTAGTGAGTGAAATCCACAACAGTTAGTTTAAGCCAGTCACGCAGTGAGATGTAGACTGGCTTCCTGGCTGGGGTCCTCAGGACGATAAACACCAATGGCTGGAGACAATTGGTGTTATGGCTCAAAATCGTTCTCAATAACTGGCGCTGATGCATCCACTCCTTGTGACTTAAAATTAACAATAAAACTATATGGTTCTTCCATATTACTATTCTTTTCGCCTCATATCTCTGTTTACTGTTTCTATTTCGCATTTCTTTTTACTTTCTTCTCTTGCTTTGTGTGCTACATGGAGTGTGGAGACTCGAACTGGTGCACATCGGTGCAAAGTTCTATGTTGAAACCAGTTAGTCAGATTTAAATTGTTGAATTTTACAACAGTACATTTAAAAGAACCCCACTATGACAGATATTGTCAGGAAAAAGCAACTAAATTAACACGAATGACAAACGTTGATGGTAAAATATAGAAACCCTCTACATTGAAATTTCCATTTGCAAAACTTCTTCGTTTTTCGGTTCTTTCGTCATCTTTTCATGCTTTCTACATTGTTTTACAAGGGACTTTCATTTCTCTTGATCTCAACTTGATCTAATGTTCTGCTACTTAAGATTCTTGCAGAAGACATGGTCGATAATATACTACTTATTAGTTGTTATCAGGATGGAGCACACGTCTCAATTATTAAAGCAATGTATTCTGTGTTTAAGAATATGTGTTATATATGCGTGTGCATGATGAATAGAAGTGAAAACTTGTTTCACTGTGGCATTTGAGAGAAAATCTGTTACTTCAATGAGTAAGTTACTTCTTAACATTTCTGGGTGATAACGAGGAATGGACATATTTCCAACATTGTTGACGATTTTGAGACATACAACTATGATTCACTGTTAAGCAGCACCATATTGCAGTATATGTAACATATGGTCCTGCCACCACTATCTGCGAAGGTCTACAGTTTTATCTGTTAACATCACAAATCTACCTTCATCATAACTTAGCGTGTTTTCCACCTGACGTAAACTGCTAAACAACGACACCATCAATGATATAAACCCACAGTCTCTTCATGTCTTCTACTTTCTACAACCGTGATTCACAGCTATGAAGTAGGGTGGGACAAACTGATACCGGATATATAGGCCTTATAGACAGACGTCGATGGCACAGCGTTAGAATGCTCGCCAACCACGCATGTGATTCGGGGCTTGACCCATGACCGACACACTCCTTTACCTCGCTAAGCCAGTAATAAGACAGGTAAAGAGGGAAGGTCGAGTATTAGGCTAGCAACCCCACCCCGTTTAAAAAAACACACTACTGCTACCAAAACTTCAAGCCTCTGGCTTGAAGCCCCATGTTCCACTAGGAAAGTAAAGGAATTAAAAAAAGTAGACAGACAATTGGGTGTCTTATGTTTATCAAATAGCGACACAAGTTGACCAATGTCGAACAAAATTTCCCTGTTTGTGTTAAAAAAACAGTTGATGGAGATTCACAAATAAGTCGACAAACGAGATTTCTGTTAACAGTTGACCACCATAGTTAGGAGTCAGTCTCACAGACCAATATGTGCTAACATATTATCTTCATTTAAATGGTAATGAAACTGTTTCACACTAATTATGCTCTCATATGGTTTAACATATTGATTTAATTTCTTCATTAATCCTTCCTATTACTTTGTATGTTAATATGTCGATGAGAGATATTGTGAGACGTGATGTTATGTAGTTATGAACGGTTTAATGTCTATCAATGTTTGCGTCGAATACAGCTCAGATTTTTTGATGAAAATATGTTTTGGTTGAGGGTTTCATCATGAGCTGACATCAGTTAGAGAACCACTGGAAAACGTGGGAGTACTGGACAGCTGTTTCGTCCTAGTTTGGGACTCCTCATCAGTACGCACCCATCGGGGTTCAAACGCAGGACCTTCTGGTTACAAGGCGAGCTCGTAGACCATTGAGCCACTGGGACCCGATCCAATAGTTCTTGAATTCTAACTTCTGCCAATTCACGACATAGCGCGACCATTCCAGTGGTTCTCTAACTGATGTCAGCTCATGATGAAATCCTCCAACCAATCAAACAAAAAATCCCTACAAAACCAGTACTTGAAAATATGTTTTGTAATTAAATATGTGCTGCCTAGCGAGTAGTCAAATTTTTGTGCGAGTCATGCTAGTCTACAATTGGGTTTCGGAATATATTGAAGTTTGTTTTTAATTTTATTTTGTATGTAGAATACTGTTTTTGCTAAAAGTTTACCTTTGAATATAATTTGTGTGCATATGGAATATATGTATATATATAGTGCGATACATGATTTTGTATCAAATATGTGTTTCTGAATCCTTCATTTCTACTTTGTTGTTTGTATGTTCTGATGCCTGTGTTCACTGTTTGAGTTCAGTTATGTCACTGTTTATGAGTCTCACTCTGTAGATCACTGACACACTTCTATGCAGCATATATATATGCATATCTTGGTGATTAGTTGTTACATGTGGGTTGAGTTTATATTAAATATGTTGTTTATCATATTGTATATCTCATCTTGTATTCAGTGAACTGAAAACTCTGTTTATCGATTCGATTCGGTTGTGTAGTTTGCTTGCCATATTTTTCGATTATTATTTGATGAGACTTCATAATTTATTTTATATATATGTATAGCTACTTTACAACTGTGAGATATGACGATTAGAAAGTGGAAGGACCTGGAAAATCGAACTCTCTCTGGCCACAGATGGTTGTGTTCTATCTTCCACATTAGTTGGTGCAATGTGGTCAGTAATATTGATATTAGAAATCGAATGTTAGGTAGGCGGGACGAGATTGTTAGTCGATGAGATTGTGAAGCTGCATCGATTATGGTTGGTTACAACACGTGCTACACATGCCACAAGCCAACGCTTTAGTTGTCGAGCATTTTTAGCATATATATATATTATTGATAAATATAATGTTTATTTGTGTGGTATTTTATCTCTATGATCTTGAAATGTCATTTTGTATATTCAGATTGGTCAATGTACATCACTTAATATTTTGTCTCTGCGAGAGAATAATTTACAAAGATTGCCAAATGAGATTGGTAATTGTACACGTTTACGAGTCTTGGATGTTTCTGGCAATAGGTAGGTTTATGTGTGCTTTTATAATATTAGTTTTAATGTTATTCGTTTCAATATAAATTAAAACACTGAACAATGTGCTCTCAGCCATCCTTGGATTTATCTGTCATAAATTGAATGTTGGCTATCTTATTGTTTCTTTCTTCGTTTGCCTATACCTATTGTCTCCAGTAATATAACAAACTAACACACTGACACGTGTTGGTGGTTCAACGTTAGAATTCTCGTCAACCACGCGCGTGGTCCGTGGTTCGATTCCCTGCTGACTTACTCCTAAACCTTGCCTAACCAGTAGTAGGCCCGGTACAGGGGAATGGTTGGGAGTGAGGCTAGCAACCCTTTCCGTAAGAAAAAGATCACTGCTACTGGACCTTTAGAACTCAAGCTCGAAGTCCTATATCCCATTCGGTAAGCAATGGAATCAAAGAAAAAAAAACACTGACAAATATTTCATTGTGACTATGCAACAATCATGAAAATCTATTTAGTTAAGTAAACGTTTGCCACCAAGTCTTTTGTTTACATATGTCATATGACTGACGCAGCATCAATACAAAATTTGCATAAAATATTAGTGGCACTAAACTCGAAGAGTGAGAATTTTAGAAAAAAAAATACGATAAAGCTAAGCAATAATTAGTACTGCAGATGTTATGAGTCAACATTACTAAGTCACATGGTTCGGGTTTTTCATATACTCAGCCACACTTGTTTTATGAGAGCTGAGGATACCACGCAGTAGTTGTCATAACTGAAGCAGATGATGGAGAGAGATTCGGACCCGGTAATGTATAAATCGCGTCAGTGGTTCATTGGTAGAGCGTTGGTCGACCATGCACGTGGTCCGGGGTTCGAGTCCTGACCGGTGCACTCCTTTACCTGTCTTAGCTAGACAAGGAGGAAAGGTTGGGCGTGAGGCTAGCTAACTCACCTGGGTAAAAAACACCACTGCTACTGAAACTTCAAAGCTAAAGCTTGCAGCCCTTTGTTCCACTGGGAACGTAAAGGAATAAAAGAAAAATGTATAAATCATCGTAGCGTGAAATAATCCGCTAAGTAATGATTTATATCTCTGCTCCAATGTGTGTTGTAGTGTCGCTTGGCTAAATCGCCTATTCTTATAGGCATTCGGTTGCACATTCAAAATTCGTTTAGGTAATCTTACAATATTTCCAGTATAGTTGAAAATCCTTTAAGTATTTCAGTTTCCATATATTGTTGGACTAAAAGATATAAATCTTTTGCAAATGCTTTCATTTTCTAGTATTTATTATTACAATGTAATACTCTTCTGCATTTATTTAAAAACTGATTGTGAATATATCAGTATTTATAAAAATTTCAAACCCCTCTGCTTCTTACCCGAAACAACAAATGTAAATTTACTTTTCAGTATGTTAAAAGGGAAAACCTTTAATGACAACTAACGGCATTCTATCGTGCGGGGACGTGTGTCAGTTGCTTAAGCCACAAGCTTTCAGACAAAGGGTCGCTGGTTCGAATTCCACTACACCTTACCTCAGCCTAGGCCACTGGGTTGTATGAGTGACCTTCAGACAATAAGTATTGCTCATAGCCTGTTACATGAAAAACCTTCCTGGGATAACTGACTTCAAACAAACAATTGAGTTATTTCAGAATTCATTTACTACTTTCTAGCTCATCTATACACAAAACTTTAAGGAAATATTAAAAAATTTAGATATTAAGGAACAAACAGAAAGACATGGTAACCAGTGTTTTCTACTAATCATCGATTTTCTATCATACTATCGACTCTGATCTTCTCATTATTTGTTTCCAAGTTTCTTTCATAAAACTTATATAATTTCAACTAGTTTCCATTAGCTGAATTAATAATTTATAAGGAAATATTGTAAAATTTATCTCCTGTATATGAATAGTGTTATCATTAATTCATTAGCATAATATATGGTAAAAAAAACCCCTGAACAAATGGAATCTTGAACAGTCAATTTACTTAAATGATTTTCATGTTGTTGTTTTTTTCTGTTGTTGCTGTTGTAGACTTGATCGTTTACCATTCAGTTTATCAAAATGCTCATTGACAGCTCTATGGCTTTCACAAAATCAATCTCAACCAGTGGTTACACTACAAATGGATGTAGATCCTGTTACACAGGAACAATATCTTACTTGTTATTTACTCCCTCAGGAACAATTAGATTCACGTATTGAAACTGGTAAGCATGTACTTTTTTTCTCTTTTCTCTGAAGTGGACTTTATTTTAGCTGAATTCATTTATGTATGTAAGCTGGTTTCTTTCTTTTTTCATGTGAAATTTCTTCTTCAAGTTGACTTCTTAATCCTGTGATCATTATCTTTTAATACTATTATTAAAGTATGAATTTTTATCGTGCAATCAACCCTAACCTATATAAGCATGATAATTTGAAATTGTGCACTCTTGGATTATTCTCAAACAGTAGAGATTAGTACTAAGACAGTACAGTTTTTCCATTTCTCTTATGTATTCCATTGCAATTAACTGACAATCTTGTTAAATACGTTGATTTTATTGATTGAACAGTAGTCAGTAACTAGTGTTATGTGTGTGTGTGTCTGGTCCTATCTTTGGTGCAGACTGAATTCTATCAGTCAAGTTTGTAATGTGGTCACTATGCTAGGTGGCTTGCCATCACGGTGCACTTTGAATAGTTGATATCAGATGGTTGAAGACAATCGGCAGGAAGCCTGATAGAATTCAGTCTACACCAAACAAAAGACTAGACAAATTACACTAGTAACTAACTACTGTCCGATAGAGTCCTACAGGAGGTCAGTTGCGAGCCCAAATAACTCAGTGGGTAACGTCTCTGGCTGCAGCACTGGGTGACGTGGGTTCGAATCTCAGATGGAGGGACATGAGTTGTTCCTTCGAGGTTGCAGATACGCCTTGCTGACTGGTGAGTGCCAAGTAGCACGAAACCTAGGTTGGGTAGGGCTTCCTGCCAATTGCCTCCAGTCATCTAATACGTTGATTTTAATATTTTAATTTGCTAAATCTAGTATCCATCTACTCAGTTATTGCTGTTCGGTTATCTATTTCATATTTAACATAGAACCTCGTTGCATATTAGCAATTTTATGTGAAAAACTTAAAGGTGTCCAAACAAAAGTGTGGCATTAATCTGTTGAATGTTCAGTTGTCCATCTTACCTGTGTGAAGCTGTTGTCCACACCATATTAAGAATCAATGGTTGGCGGTTTTATAATGAAGTTACAATCACCATCCACCGATGCCTTATTATAATCCGAGGGTTTTCTCTTGCAATTGTCTTGCGATCTACTGTAATTTGATGTTTCCTTCGTGTGACGTTTTCAATATGACCTGATACATATCCAGTGGTAGAAAGGTTACTTTGTCAAACTAACAAAGAAGGGCAAATTAGGCCATCGCAAAAACTGCCATGGAAGACTGTTTTTGTCCACGCCAAGAAAAATATTGGACCACGGCATCTCGGAGGGACTAAAATATGCTATGAATGCAAAACTCCTTCCGCAACAAGCTGGATTCAGGAATTGCAACTCTACTTATCGTCATCGAACAAGCATAGAACAGCAGTCATATTTCTACCTCAACTTTATTTGACTTTGAAAAGGCCTTCAACAAAGTTGATTGCAAAGTAATTTGCAAATTACTTCAACACTACGGACTTCCCCAAATCTTTATTGACCTCATTCAGCAGTTATATGACAATTCTAGATGTCAAGTGATCCACAACGGAAAACTCAGTGAAGCCTTTGAAGTGAAGACAAGAGTAAGACAAGACTGTCTACTACCATCGATGATATTCTTGATTATGGTGGACTGGATTATGTTATAGACCGTGGGTATCAAGAAGACAGGGATACGTTTGACCGATAAGAAGACTCTAGAAGATCTGGATTTCACAAATGACCTATGTCTATTGTCACACAAACTCGAAAACTTGCAGGCAAAAACCAACTAGTTGTCAGAAGAGGCATGCAGAAAAGACCGGGACTTCAGGTGAACATAGGGAAGACAGCGGTAATGAAAATAACCAACTAACTCCAACAAGCACCAATCCTTACAACTGAATTAATTTGAAAGTGTTCACTTCTCTAGGCAGCACCGTCTTGACTACAGGCAGTAGTCGGCACGAGTGAGGATGTCAAAACCAGAATTGGAAAGACGAGTCAGACGTTCATCACTCTGAGATCAATTTAGAAATCTTTTGCACTCAGCACAAAGGACGAAATTCGGATTTTCAACACCAGTGTTAAATTAGTCAGTGCTTCTATATGGGTCAGAAAATTGGCGTATCACGAGAGACATTTCCAACAGGCTTCAGACTTTTATCAACAGTTGCCCTCGCTCCATACTGAAGATCAAGTAGTCAGAAAGAACTAACAAAAAGAAACTGGGAATAAACCAATCGAGAATCTTTTGCTCAACAAATATGCAGAAAGAAATGTAGGTGGATCGGACACACGTTGAGGAAATCTTTGAGTGACATTACGCACCAGGTCGTCGCTCGAGTGGGACCCGGATGGGGAGAGGCTAAGATTAGCGTCTGAGTGTGACGTACAGGAGACGAGAGCTTATAGGAAGTTGTGGCGTCAGGTAAAAAGGACTGCAGGAAACAAATTGAAATGGAGATGTGCTGTTGAAGCCCCTATGTAGCAGTCGGAACCCAAGGGATTGATAATAATAAAAATATCTATCCAGTACAAACTTTTATGTTTATTTCATTTGCCATGGGTTATGTTGTCATCTTTGAACCGGTATTTCGCATATGCCATTTTCTTAAATTGCCAAAACAACGTTACCTTTAGATAGATGAACAGTCAAGTTATTTATTTTCACTTTTTTTTTTAATAAACTTACACATAACCAGTGAATCACCATTATATTATACATATATATTAGCGTGCATATGTATGCAAAAATAATAGAATGCGTAATGACTATTGATAAGAAAATCACCTTTATTCAGGACACACACACTAATTCAGTTTCTGATTGTATATGTTTTCTATTATTACTATTACTATTATGATCAATAGATCTTAGTATTATTGTTATTTTTTTTGCACATGTTAATGAACTAGCTTTTAGAGTTACACTTATTTGTTTCACTTATATTCTAGTTTTAAGAGAACAAGAGAGAAAAAAGAAATTGGTTTTTTTTTGTGAAAAGCATAAGTGAACAGGTTGAAGTGTTTGCTAATTCCCGTGATATATATACTTGGCTAGTCAAAGCAGGAATTCTGTTGTAGGTGTCGTTTATTTTAGGATGTTTTCCAGTCTTTCTTCAATGTTAGAAGAAGTATGATGGGAGAAGTTAAGAGACTTGGTAACGAATTCTAATTAAGGAAAACACATATTAAATACATTCTTAGCCGCATTATAAAGTTTGGCTAGGTCGGAGGGGAATAAATTGTTCTGATTGGTTGGTGACTAGCCCAAGGCTAAACAAGTTGTCCAATCAGGTTATTTCGTGTCCACAACGTAGACTAAATCCAGACTTGACGATTAGACGCTTCTGCCTTTTGTCAGTAATTTAATTATTCCCTTTGGAATATTAAGAACATAATATTCAATGAAGAGACGCTTTTCAACAAATGTATTATCAAGCTGCACAATCTTATATATATTTGGTTTTTACGAAATTTTATCCCGCAAGGAAATTTAAACAAAGGCGTGATTACTTTAAATAATCGTATGAAATGTAATTAATATGTTTGTGATTGTAATCATAGTTAAATATAAAGTGTAAATTAGCGGGACAAATAATCTCATACATGGAAATAGTTCGTAAAATGTATAAATGTTGGAAGGGGATATATAATTATAGGATTAGTAGACAAATATAAAACGTCACACAACATGATGTGAAATTTGATAGATAGATAGAATTCAACACTGCAGAAAATTTTTGATTTAGAATGACAAGTGGGATTAATGAGATAATACCGGGAACAGTTCAAAGTGGGAATAGTAATAGTAACAATAATAATAATAATAATCGTAGTAATGAGGGAAAGGTACACAGATTACGTGTACAAAGGTCTAGCTGGAATTCGTGAATGGCCAAGGCCTCCTCTGTCTTTATAAGCTTAGAACGAAGAAAATGCGACAAGCTCTACTACATTTGTAGCCAGTAATAAAAAATGTTGATTTCAATTTTGCCTGCTTCCCACAAATTATCATTATGCCACAAAATTATTTTCACCGAAACACTTACTTGAGCGTACGAGCAATAATTATCCTGAAAAAGTGATGAGGGCGGCAGCTGATAACTTAGGGATAATGATCAGGGTAAAATCCAGTGAATTACAGTAACGTCGTATAGGCGAATCAATGCTAGTAACTGATTCCACCTGATGTTGATCATGGTGAGCATTGAAAGTAGTATAAAAGTAAGCTAAAAGTTTTCGTTGCAAAGACTAAAGGAAGAAATGAAGATGAGACAAAAAAGTTTAAATTTCAAGTCGATAAAAGTGATCAATAAGAACGTAAATTAATAACCAGTCACGACATTGGTTGTCAAGAGATACAATTATATCTTTCATGGCGAATTCAAATGAGTTCATTTCATATTAAAACCTGCGCTGATGGTGTTGTCTAGAATGACGATGAAATCTTTGCAAATAAATCAACCAGCTCAGAGAACACAACTAAGTCGAAGACAAGTATCACCAGTGGTAAATTTCTCTGTCAACTTTCTCGACTTATCAAAAAGACGTGTAATTAAAGCTTATGTTGAGTGAAGGACTCTCGAAAAAGGATAACTTCTGCAGAACGCTTTGAGTAGCAGTTCAACTGACCTATATCAGCTTACACCTACCCAAACTCACTCTAAGTTGGAAATATAAATTCATCCTAGAGTCCGGAAGAGACTCGCAGATATATTAGGTAAAGTGATGAGTCCACTGATTACCGCGAACAGAGTTCTGAGCATGTTTGGCTCGTATTTAGCTCTTGGGTCTTTAGACTCTAAAAACCGATGATCAGATATTCTTCGTATTATGACTCAACATCATATATTCACTCCTCATTTTTGAGCCACTGATAAGCTTAATTTATATGCAAATAATTATCTCCTCCCTTATGTTTCATTGTATTACTTATTTTTCCTAAATTGTTTGCTATTCGGAATTGTGTGACACCTTTAACTGATGCTCATTTGTGCAGGATTCTCTCTGTATCGCTTGTCTTTGTATGTTACAATTTCTATGTTGATCGGCAATGTTAACATGCTGGCTGAGTCACACAAATTCATTACGGAAATGTAAACAGCTAACTGTCATATCAAAGTAAAGTTGGAAATTGCTTCGCTTTATTATCCTTAATTATCTTTCGGCATCAGTTGAAATGTCATCTTCATTCATTTCTGTCACTTGGTATCAAAACCTATAGGTGTTAGTATTTAGCTACATATATCACACATTGGGTTTATCGCTTTGCTAGAACCGGTTATCTCTGCTTAGCATCTATTGAATTTTCCTGCAATTTCACATCGATGATTGCATATTTCTAACCCTTGTGATCACTACATCTATGAGAGTTAGAGTGCTTTACTACATTCATTGCTTCTAGTTACTCTGTAGCTTTTCTACCTTTAACAATACATGTCTGTCTGTCTGTTTTCGACATAGAACTTTGCACATATGTGCACCAGTTCAAGTCGCCACACTTCACTCAGCACACAAAGCAAGAGGAGAAATACATAATATAGACAGTAAACAGAGGTGTGAGACAAAGGTATAGTAATAACGAAGAACAAAACAGTTTCATGAGAAATCATAAGTTACAAGGAGTGGATGCATCTGCGCCAGCCATTGAGAACGATTTTGAGCCACATCACCAATTGTTTCCAGCCACTGGTTTTTACCGTCCCTAGGACCCCAACCAGTCTGGAAGTCTACACCTTCCTACATAGCTTAGACTAACTGTTGTAGATTTCATTGACTGGTGAAGCCATGTTTTCGTTTGACCGCTGCTAGCTCTTTTCCAGCCTGACCCTGTGTCAGCTAACATTGCCCATTGTCGAGGAAGGCGATGACTACGCATACGTAACACATGTCCTAACCATCTCAGTCGATGTAATTTCACAGTCTCGTCGACTGATTTCCCCTCCTTACCTAGCACTCGACACCTAACCTCAATATTGCTCACCTTATTATACCACTTCACGCAGGTGATAGAACGCAGACACCTATGATCAAAACAATACATAGATAGATATCATATATACCACCGTCCCATGACTGGCTCCACATTATGATCATGAATATATTCTTAAAAGCCTTGTCAGCTATGGCAATTTCGCCTTCAAGTTCAAAGGATATAAACGATTACTAGATGTCATTAAATTTTGCCTTATACTCCTATCTTTCTTTAACTTTAACTTATCGCTTGATTCCTATACCCTTCATCAGCCTCGGAACCTGTCTGCCTCTTTGAAACTTTCTACTCCTAACAAAATAATCAAACATCATTTAGTAGTATTGAACCTCAAAAGGCAGTTGATCCCATATTGATTTAGTTATCAAAGGTGAATTGAAGCAGTGTGATTTGATCGTCAGACTGTCGTCATAACTAACTGATTCTTCTTTATGGTTAATCACATGAAGGTTTCTGTTCGCTTTGTCTTATTTCTTTTCTCTATTCAAGACTGTATTGTCTTCCTATTTGTTCTTCACTAACCACCTACCTTCTAATGTGTTATTTATTTTTCTTTCACTCTCAGACACGTAAGTGAATTTTCTAAGTACAGACTCTGAAAATCGCTTCAGAGCAAAAGTATGCTTAAATACACGTAGTGTTGTTTTCAAGAAAGAAAAAATAAACATCGACATTATAATTTCTGCATAACATTACCATAGAATCGAAAGAAAGAAATTAATCTATGATTAAGAGACTATGACGTAACTGAGTTTTGCGTGATCTCACAGTCTAATATATATGTCTTTATTCGATGGCTATTTAAATACTCTTTTCAAGATTAAAATGTGATTTTTTTTTCCTCTCCTTATCATCATCACGTGAAATCACAACTTCCTTCTCTTATTGTAAAGAAAAAAAATATATTTTCATTAATACTTTTAGATCCAACTGTGTCACCGTCTGAGTTGGCTAGTTATTCTACATCCTTAAATCCTGATATTAAACCAAAACATGATCTTCTCGACGGAATCAATGTAGAAGTGAATCATGCCTATGAACCTGCTGATTTGCACACTTCTACACCTCAGTCGAATCCTTCAAGCAATCGAAATACATCACCTTTGAATTATGAATTAACTAAACCATCGAGTATTTTGCCTTCACCGACACTGAGTGCTAATTCTACAACAATGACAAGTGATCCAAGTTCGCTTAAACTCAGTTCAGTGACTACGGCTATTAGTAATAATAAAAAATCACCATATTCTACTGCAGTATCGACTACATTTTCTTCAACTGTCAATGGTAATTTAGATCCTACATATTCTTCACCGAATCATACAAATAATCTTTCGACTTCATCGACGCATTCCTCGCTATCTATGCCAACATCTGCGTCAACTCGGGTTCATTTTTCTGGTTCAGTGAAACCTGATGAATCGGTAAGTATTAGTGATTTTTATTTAAAATAAGTTATATTTGTTATAGTCAGATTCAAATTTAGATGATAAGGATAGAAGGCTCTTGTGGCCTGTGTTAATCCTTGCAAAGTATATCTCTGCAGAGATCTAACTTCTTTTTGAAAGCGTTCATCGACGGAGCTGATACTACTGAATCAGATAACGAGTTCCAGTCGTTGACCACTGTGTGAGAGAAACTAAATTCTGCACGTATTTTAATCGTCCTCGGTTTGAGCACCTTTTTGCGGTGACCCCGTAAATGTATCCTAGAAGGGGAGAAAAGTTTAGAAAGGTCAGTTTCTAAATCACCCTTAAGTATACGGTAGTCGGTTTAGATATTTTAACTGAGAGAATCACAATTTTTCTTTCTTCTTTGTTGTTTTCTTTTTTTTTGGTGTTAACTGCTTACACATTTATTACTCTTGTTGTTATTTTCTAATGCAGTGCCTTGTATATTTATATCCATCAATTGTTTCTGTTCGTGGTCTCAATTGATACTCGATTTAGTTTCGTTTCTGGTCTGACTCATGTAATTAGAAATGGTTGGTGAAACTCAACTAGTCACTCAGTTATAGTTTTTGAATTCCATGTTAAAACCTCTACCTGATACCAAGTAAACACAGTCGATGGCACAGTGTTGGTGGCACAACCGTTAGGACTCTCGCCGACCATGCACATGGTCCGGGGTTCGGTCCTCCGCCGACGCACACCTGATATCAATGGTCGGCCTGCAAAATTTGGGCTATCGGCATCACATGCTGAAAATTCCATACTTGTACCAAAAATAAGGTGTGGAATCAAGCTATAATAAAAAAACTTAATTTATTGTTTAAAATGAATAGAAGTGCAGGAAATTAAATAAGAATGTGTCATCTGGTGGTCAGTTAATTTTTTTTCAAACATTTTATGAATACATTATGGACATCAAGAGGTGCGCCACACAATATGTCATAGTCTGTGAGAGGACTGGGATACTGTCCGGACACCAACACCGAAGCAAGTTGTTTGTCTTAAGGAGCCACTCCTCTCCGAGCCTTTGACTCGAAATTTGATCTACAAGACAGTAGAGCAGCGTCAGGAGTTGCATTCCTATGATTGCTTGTGACCAAAACAGGTTGACACGCCATTCGATCCTTTCAGATTCTGAAATCAGAGTTTTCCCCTAGGTAAACTACCATATTCATCAGTCCGGTTGTAAGCGCCAGGCGTTTGCATTCGTCCTATCACTTATGTTAGGAACACCTCGGCTACGTAAAGGCAGTGAGTAGTAATTACCTGGCGGAGACTACGAATGGGTGACTATATGAGAGAATTTCGAGGGGAAGACCTAAGTCAACCCACTCTCGGCCGTACTAGGTTGTTTATGGGGGAAATCAATTAATTGTCAGATAAGGGTAAAAGGTTACCAACACGAGATTATTCGTCACTGTGTGTATGTATGTGTGTCATTTCCATTCACAACACTCATGTTTATATAGTAGTGTGAAATGAATTCACTTTCATGTACAATGTCATTTTTGGTTACTTTTCACACAAGTTACTTTTTCAACACTAGAGAGATCCTAATCTAATATATAAAGGATTTAATATCATGTTTGCATTAAACTTATTCTGTTGTCTCTTCGGCTGTCTATCCATATTGTGAGACCGTTTCTCGGTATGTTAGTAGAACAATTTTATTCGTTAACCCTAGCACCATATATTATCAGTTAAACATTAAGGACTGAAATTTTCTGTGTCATCAAACTAGTGGCTTGTTGGGTTCAGCGTTATGCTGTGAATTGTTTTTTAATGTTTTACTTTTCACTCGTGGACAGTTTTAAGTTCAGAAGTAACGACTAATCTGATTTGTTTTAACTGAGTAACTGAATATTAACTGCTGTAGCATATGCTTTTGAAAATGAATTAAATGTTCTTACTGATGAATAGCCTTTTGTTGATATCATCAGCCTCCTGCCATGTACAATCTATTAAACACGGCAAATACTTGTGTTTTGATTGTAACTGTCTGCGTTCAATTCTCCTTGTTAGCTGGAGCAATATTGTCAGTAATAATAATAATGAGGTGAGGAGTAAGGCTCACTAAGGAGGAGAAGTTGATTTATGGGATTGTAAAGTTGCATTGAACAAGATGACTGGGACATACATGTGTAAAGTCACTCATCACCTTTCTTGATGAGCATTTTGACCCGATGCAGGGCTGTCAGACGAATACATATTACTAGTCTATGAAGTCTTTGACTTTTGGTGTGAGCCATATAGGAAGGTACTCGGGATGTTAAAAATCAGTGGTTGAAGGCTGTTGGTAACTTGACAGAAAATAGTTCTCACAAAATTTATTTTCCCTACTATTTTGTGCTTCTTTGCAGTGTGCCATCTTGAAATTCTGTACTGTTATGCAAAGTTCTGCTTTGATAAGCTCAAACTCACTTTCATCAAAGTCAGTTATTTATTTCACTGACTGGTTTCAACGTAGAACAGAACTTTGCACAGATGTGCAGTAGTTCGAGTTGTCACACATTTATTACTTGGTAATAACCATCGACCAAGAATCAGTTACTTCAAGTTTGAGCACGGATGATTGATAACAGTTAGAGAACCACTGAAAACCTGGGAGTACTGGACAGGTGTTTCATCCTAGTTTGGGACACCCGAGTTTTTTAAATGGTTCTCTAACTGATATCAATCATCCGTGCTCAAACTTGAAACAAATTATAAATCCCTGGAAACTAACTCTTGAAAATTAATCACTTATTACTGTTTTCATATTTCTGTAAAAGGCAATCAGTATGATTTGGTGTACTTAATGAATCAAAATCTTTCCCTTGTGTATTCTTTACTTTTTTTTAAATATAAAAATCTTTCTATAAATTATAAATATTGTGACGATACCTTTTTCTGTTCCCTTTTATATTCTCATAAATCAAAGGATAAATCTGCCTCAAAAGGATTTCCAAAAACACGTCATCCACGTTCTGGTAAAAAGGCTACAGACAGTCATGTTATTGGCGGTAAAGGCGATTTAAGCCAGCATGGGAATGTGAGTTGTTTTGTGTTTTTTTGCGTCTATTATATCTGTGTTTTTATTTCCTCCCTCAGAAATTAGTAATTATTTTGAAAAAAAATTATATAAATTTCTTGTTTGACTGCTTCTTTTGTCCTTTGTCGGTGACTATTGTGTTAGAATTTGTACAAACTTCTAAGTATTATATTATTATATTATTGTTCCCTTGGGTTCCTAGTGGAACATAGCGCTTCAACTGCACGCCTCCACTTGCTTCTCTTCTGTCTTCTGCTGTACTTTTCACCTGCATCCATGTTAGTCCATACTGTTTCAATTCCTCATCACACGATCTCCTCCATGTCACCCTTGGACGTCCCACTCGCCACTTCCCTTTCGGGTTCCACTCGAGCTATGGTCTGATGCGCGATGTCACCCAGCAGCCTCCTCAGCTCAGCGAGTGTCCAATCCATCTCCACTTTCTCCTGCATATTTGTTGTTTGATTGGTTCTTTTTTGTTTGTTCCCATAATTTCTTGTTGGTGATTCTTTCCGGCCATCTGATCTTCAGTATAGAGCCAGCGAAGACAGTTGTTGATAAAGGTCTGCAACAGGCTGTTGGAAATATTCTTTGTGACCCGCTGGCCAATTTTCTGATCTGTATAGAAGAACTGACTGACTTGACGTCGTTTGTATTGAAAATCCGAATTTTGTTGTTGATGCTTAGATTGGTTTAAGGTTGATGAATGTGTTTCTCGCCTTTCCGATTCTCGATTTGACATCCTCGTCCGTTCCTCGTGTAGTTGAGACAATGCTCCCTAGATAAGTGAATGAAGTAATCTCTTTCAAATCCCTCCCGTTGATGGTGATTGGCGCTGAATGTTGCTGGTGTTGTTGTTGTTGGTTGGTTGGTTATTTTCATAACCTCCGTCTTGTCTATGTTCACCTGCAGTCCTGTCTTTGCTGCTTCTTCGAACAAACTTCTAAGTGCGTCTTTATTATTTCCTTGTGTTCTTCGTCTAGGCACTGATAAACGTATTGTGGTTTGAATAAAAATTTTCCACATATATTATTGAAGAAGCCATTAATTTCTCAGCAAGTCACTCATTATTCCTATGAGACAACTACTTGTACCGATGAAAACTCACAACCAACCACCTCGATAGAATTTTAACGTAACACCACACCTAATTTCATGATAAACGACCATGTTGTTCAAAGGCACCTATGGTCAAAAACAGCTTCTCTTTACATGTATTCACAATTGTAAACTAGGATAGAGCAAACTACTACTTCAGGGAACAACACTTCTTGATAAATGGCCGACTGAGTCAACGATGACGTAGGTTAGCAAGCGCCAAGCAAGCCTTCTGTATTTCTAATTCGATTACATTAAGAACCAGTCCATTAGAATTATAGCTTGTCTGTTTGGTTCAGCCTCTGCCCGACAAGAGCATTAAAGTCCCCTGTTAATCTGTCTATAACTAAGCATTTTGATTTTAACATCGATTCCTGTCAGCTTATAGTAAACCGTGTAATTTACTGCGTTTGAACTGCTCTCCTTGATTGTGTAGGTTTAATGTATGAGGGAAGTTTAAATCAGTGCGTTCTACAGATACCATCTTGGAGTGTGTAACTAGTGTTTATAGTACTACACACAAACAAAAACTGTCTTATAAGATGTACTGTGGAATTTGAATTGATTTCTTTTATTTAGATTCAAATTTTTGTTAGCGCGGGGTTCAATGTATGATGAATTATCATACTGGATATAGTGGAATATTTACTGTTTATTTTAACTCCTTACTTTATTCTCTGTCTCTTTTTCACACATACGCACGCACACACACACACGCGCGCACATATCAGTGTTTGATTTCACTCGTAACTTGATGATTCATCGTAATTTATTTTGATGGTAACAGTAAATAAGACTAAGAATTCTGTTGTTGTGTTTTTTTCTTTCTTCTTTCTTTCTATTCAACGAGTAATTGGCACACGACATTAATATAAAAAAATTGGCATGTAACTAACATCTAACTGTATTCAAATGATGCACAAAAATGTGTTAGTTAGCCTATACTGCAGGTATTATTTAGGCTGTATAAACTTGTGTGGTATATACGCTACTTTTCTTCAGTTTATTCTAATGTCTACATCGCGTTTCGATTTCAAAACTCAATAGATTTCTAAAATCCAATTTTTCATAATTTACAGTTTTAATGCAGTTCGAGACTGGTGGTGGAATTTCACCACATTCATTATCACAGTTGAAAGCTGAATTTTCTTAGATCACACAGTATGTGTGATTTGCTTGAGACTATGGTGGTGATCAAGAAAGCAAGCAGCATAACAGCATACACTGCTGCTATGTTCCATTTGGACTTTGGGAAGTACCATCAGCCCCAAAGGGTTGATCTCTGACGAAATCTCAGCACGAATACAGAGGGCTAGGTTCGCATATGCCAGTTTACGCCATCTCTGGCGTAGACGTGACATCCGACTATCGACCAAAGGGTGTGTGTATTGCTCAACAGTCCGCTCCGTCCTCCTTTATGACTGTGAGACCTGGCCATTGAGAGTGGAAGACATGAAAAGATTAGCTGTGTTCGATCATAGGTGTCTGCGTTCTATCTCCCGCGTGAAGTGGTATAATAAGGTGAGCAATATTGAGGTTAGGCATCGGTCGAGTGCTAGGTAAGGCGGGGAAATCAATCGACGAAACTGTGAAATTACATCGACTGAGATGGTTAGGACATGTGCTCAGTATGCCTAGTCATCGCCTTCCTCGACTGACGGGCAATGTTAGCTGATTTAGGGCCAGGCTGGAAAAGAGCTAGCGGCGGTCAAACGAAAACATGGCACCAGTCAATGAAATCTACAACAGTTAGTCTAGGCCACGTAGGAAGGTGTAGGCTTCCTGGTTGGGGTTCTCAGGACGGTAAAAAACAATGGTTGGAAAAAACTGGTGATATGGCTCAAAATCGTTCTTAATGCCTGGCGCAGATGCATTTACTCCTTGTGACTTGTGATTTCCAATGGGACTGTTTTGTTCTTCGTTATTACTATACCTTTGTCTCACACGTCTGTTTACTGTCTTTATTATGTATTTCTCCTCTTGCTTTGTGTGCTACAATGAGGGATTGTGGTGACTTGAACTGGTGCACATATGTGCAAAGTCCTATATCAAAAACAGACAGACAACAGAGAGATTTCTAAAATCCAATTTTTCATAATTTGCAGTTTTAGTGCAGTTCGAGACTGGTGGAATTTCACCACATTATCACAGTTGAAAGCTGAATTTTCTTAGATCACAGTATGGGTGATTTGCTTGATACCATGGTGAACAAGAAAGCAAGTATAACAGAATACAACTGCTGCTATGTATCATTTGAACTTTGCAAATTGCGAAGTAGATAGCCAGAAATCAAGTGCTTTGAACTGATTCAGCTCTCTGAGACGAACTAGACTGGGTTAAAACTGGTGAGGCGTTTGGCCACAAATGAACGAGAAACAACCTTCCTGCGTTGAGATTACTTCGATCTAGCAAGCATGCACTACTGGTTGATTTGTGTAGCGTACAACTACTCATTTCAATCAATCAGTAGTATAGAGTTTCAGTAGATCTCCCTATATAGTATTGTTGTTGTTATAATTATTGGTTGCATTCATTGGTGGTGGTCAGTTCTTGTTTCAATTTATATCTAAATGAAGATCATTCACCCAGGGAATCTGTTGTTGAAACACAGTTGCAGTTGTTTACCTATTCAACCTCAAAGTTCTTTATATCAGCATTTTGTAAAGATTAAAGAATATTTCTTCTTGAATTTGTTTACATATGAAAACTTAGTATAAGGTTTTACTGGTTTGAAATGATATCAGCTGTAAGGGAAACATCAGAAAATTGCAGGACACTGAATAGATCTTTCGTCCTGGTTTTCGACTCATTAGGAATTGTTGGTATTAGATGGTTGGAAGCAGTCGGCAGGAATTCCTACCCGACATAGGTTTCGTACTAGTTGGCACTCGTGAGCAAGGCGTATCTGCAACCACGAAGGAACAAGTCATGTCCCTTCATCTGAGATTCGAACCCGCATCACCCAGTGCAGGGCTGTAGTCACAGACGTTATTACTGAGCCATTCAGGCTTGCGGTTGTCCTCCTGTAGGACTCTATTGGATATTTTTTCGGTTGGACACTAGTTAATAACTAGTGGTCACATTGAAAACATGACTGATAGAATTCAGCCTACACCAAAAGTAGGACACAATACACTAGTTACTGACTAGTGTCCAATCAAAAGAATACTCATTAGGAATGTTGTTTATCCATGATCTCGTATCAGGGATAATAGCCAAGAAGTTCATGCTATGACTACCTTTCAACAAATCTCGTTTCTTAATGAAAATAATCAAATCTTCACAAACCTTAAATACAAATTCTGAGGAAAAGAAGAATAACCCTGATAAAACTCTTCAGATAGCCTGGTTAGAATTTTTAATCGTTCAACCATTCACACAAAATCTACAAAATACTTCAGACACCTGTTATCTAATTTACTGAAGCGCTAACCACCCATAAAATTAATCGACTTTTCTGTCCACACCTAAATAGTTTATCGTTACACTTGATCTGTTGTGGTAAAACTTACCTGATGATTATATTACCAAAACTTATTATTCCTGTATCATCCTCCGTACTCTTCAACATCCTACTACTTTTATTATTTATTTTTAAATGAAAATTAACACGAAATAATTTGGTGGTTGATGACTAGCAGTGGATTGCAGGATGCGCATTTCGTCTTATAATCTGACTCGTCATCTGCACGTACCTGCATTCCCCAGTGAGTGATAGTGTTTCCACCGAGGCTTGGACCCCAGTACTCATCGTTCCAAACAATAAAGAGTTACCCACTGGACCACTTGTGAGGAATGGCAGTACATCTAGCTGATGAGTCAGAAATAGGAAGAAATGCCGCATCCTGCATTCGATTGCTAGTCAGTCAGTATCCACTAAAATCCTACTACTTTGTTTATTT